CATATTACTTTAAACATTTTAAACCTATTGATAATAAATATTAATCTTTGACACTCGTTTCTATGACTGCCGTTTGACTCTGTGGTCGATTCGGGTTCGGTCGTGGAACGAGTACACGAAATGTTACGAAACTTGTTTATCACAAATTCTGGTTGCTATATATATGGGAACTGGTGGGTGCGGCGCTTAGTTCGGTTGAGCGGCCGAACCAATCAGAAGCCTTTAAAAGTGGACTTTATGTCGAAAGTAAATGGCTGGTGCCAACAAACTAATTTATGACGACAGTATTGCTGACGTCATTATCTTCAACAATTCATCTGGAGTCTGACCAATAATTATGGCGTTCAAACGCCGACATACACCAAATGAAAACCGAAATAGAATTCACTGTCTTTATTGTCCTTTGACTTACATGGCGGTTTTAGGTCGACTGATTCATCCACGTGCAAGTGGAATTACGAAATAACGATACGTCGACAATATTACAAATGGAATTACGAAATTTCTATATAGACAATAATTACACCTCTACAAGATCATGAATAATCCAATTTCAACAATACCACAAAGAAAATCTCCTTTATTGAAATCAGTTAAAAAGGGTTTACAACTTTCAAGTTATGCCACCCATCCTCTTTTGTAGTCTTATTCCATTTTTAATCCATGCATGTTTCAAAGCGAACAAAATCGCATTGAAAATTTTTGTCATAGACAATAAAACTAGGAACTTCAAAAACATGTTTCACTTCGAGAGGTTTCTTTCAACTTCACTGAATCGAATAACGTGTGCAAATACACTATTTTCAATTCACATATATTTATCGGTGTGGAAATAATCAGCGTGTATTTTAGCTTGAATCGTTGCTTAGCCTTATCAGCTTCTCGGTATAGTTTCGTATGAAACTTACTTGTATAACACATTTGTTTTAATCCTATTTTTTATCTATACAACAACTTATCTAATCTAAAAATCACAAATAATGGACTGCAACTTATGAATTCGGCCAGTGTTAAACTAAATATCAAGATACGGATTGAAGAGTAACTATTAATTAATTAAGAAGTCATATGGAACATGGTGTAATGGTTGCAGCTCCTTACAAACATTGTGGAAAACAAAAAACTTGGCGATTAAAAAGTGGCTGAGAGTTTATTGCCAGTTCTTCTCTTCCGTTCTACGCCCTTGATTTGAGAACTGGCAGTAGATGTAAAATTAGAAGCATTTAATATGTATTTCTTTTTTGACGTTCATAAGTGTACTTTGTGTTACCTATATGAATAAATGATTTTGACTTTGTCTTTGACTTTGTGAAATTGGTGCATCTCTGAACATCTTAAAGTAATAATAAAGAGTTCCATACTTCCTTATTATTTAGTCGCACTGACTTTTGCACTGGAATAGCTATGTAAATGTTTAAAAAAACGCGTTTATGCGTTAATGAAGCTTTAAGTCCTTCAAATATTTTATATAGTATTTTTTTATCAAGGCAAACCTATACCTATAACCTAACCTAACCTATCACCTGGTGTTAAGCGATACCGCCCATGGACACTCACATTGCCAGAAGGCGTGCCTTGTTTTTTTGAAGGACCCTAATTCAAATGGGTGCGGAAATACTTCAGCTGGTTCCACATAGTGGTGGTTCGCGGCAAATTCATTAACAAACGCTCAGTTGTGGAACGACGGATGTCAACTATTTATAATCAACTAGAATTTTGCTTTATACACGTCATAAACGTCATGCATTTGGATTCGAAAGGAATACTCCCAAGAAATCAAGATCTGAAATAAAATTCAGCATAAAACGTATAATACTCGGGAGGATTGGACGATCTACACCTTTATGAAACTTGAGCTAGTCTTGGATAGTGACACTTTAGCGGATTGAATATGTCGTAAAAAGACACCAATGCGGGATTAAGTTTTATTATGACTTACGTTTCACGATTCTCATTGTATAACGAGGTGTGGTTGTATTGTTGATATGAAAAATTACTATTTTTATGTACAATAAGACAGTTTATTTGTTTTTTAGAAATAAATAAAAAACCGCCAGTTATTAATTTCTAACATACGATGGATTGTTTCATGTTTAATATTTATTTGTAAGCAACAAATAAAATATTTATGTTTTTTTTTTTTATATTTTTTTATAATTATTTTCCTATTTTTTTAATTTAAACTTTTCTAACTTTTAATAAAATTTATTATTTTAACTTACATTTTTATTATTTTTTAAAATTAACACCAAAATAAAAATACAACACTTCGAATATTTTTTTTTATTTTACTTTATTTTATTACATTTACCAATCATATTAATTAGGTTTTTTATACCTTTGTTCTTAGTATTACTTAACATATAGCCTCTTCCTTTTCATTCTTTAAAAAAATCTTTGATTTTATATGTTATGAAATGAAATAAGTTATGTATATCAAGAATGGGTATATTTGTTTATGAATTTAATCTCTAACATTAGATTTTGCAGTAATTTTTGCTAAATACAGCGTTAATCTAGCGCTTCATCAAGCAATTATGTACAAAGAACATATCAGCATTTATAACATTGTCTTAGGGCTCATTTACACGAGCAGTTGCTTTTCCGATGGCAAAGCAACTGCATTCGTCGACGGCTGCCGTCCACATGTCAAAAATCGAAGCTCTACGGCAGCGATCGTCGACTCGCTCTCTCTCTCACTTTTATTGTTTTTACTCCGTCGACGTCGACAAAAACAAAAAAGAAACACACATTGTGGGTTCACTGCATTGTAGTTCATTGTTTGCAGCTGCCCCCACTCTGTTTGTTTTATTATTTTGTGACTGTTCTCTCGTTTATAATTCAATGTTTATGATTCCAAATACAAGAATTTATCAATCCGGTCACTGGAGATTATTTTAAAAAATCTAAACGGGTGCGCACTCCTAACCTATTAAATATAGTCAACTGACAAAATGGCGGACACGGCACGCTAAAACACAAACAACTGCAAACTGTAGATAAAGGTCGACGATTACCGCCGCTCGTGTGAAAAAGCCCCTACGCACTACGGACCAAATTAGCGTCTAAGTGCAGAAATTGAGCCCACACTACACACTACATACAACACCAAAGTGTGCCTGAACATCGAACATCGTCGATTTGGCGCCCGGGACTGTCGTACCGTAAATAGTGCCATCAGAATTCGCAGGCGAGATAGGCGAGATCTACTCGCGATATTCAAATTGAGCCAACACATCGTACTGCATTATAACACTATGAATATGATATGTGGAATTCGATTTATCTGCACCTAGGAAAATAGTTATTTGATAATGAAGATGGTATTCTTAAGATAACCTTATTTAGCTCCGGACAGAAAACAATATGCGTTGGATTTTGACTTACCGGAGCTATATAGAAGTCTGTTATTAATACCTGCTGAGTTTCATCATCGGACGTCGAGGCAGAATACGAAATTCCACCCGTATCACCTCGACGTCCGTCGTTCACCGTCCACAACTGAGCGTTTTTTAAGACAGTTTTTGCCGCGCAAGAAAAGAGCGTACCAATTTTTAATAGGCCGGTAGCGAACTCACGAGCCCTCTGGTATTAAGAGTGTCCATGGGCGGCGGTATCACTTAACATCAGGTGAGCCTCCTACCCCCTGTTCACTAAATCACATAATGAAAATTATTAGGCTTTCAGAAAAAATATATAAAAATAGGATTTACATAGTGACTGTTGAAATTTATTATTATGAACTTAACATCAAATGTTAAACATTCATAACGTCGTACATAAGTTTAATAAAACAGTTTACACTATATTGCCATTTGATAATACATTGTGGACATATTTCAACAGGCGAAAAATAATTTAAAGAAACTTTGATTTTGGTAGAGAGTAGAGATTCGAGAGAGCGTGGTTTAAGTACATAGGCGCTAATTAAAGTAGATACCAGCTAATATAAGTATGTACCGTTGACGCCAGGGCTGGTTTCCTCGCTCAACGAATAAGTATCGCAAAACAGCGAGGAAATGCTTTGGACCATTTTAAATTTATTCTAGTTTTCTATTTATCCATTTTTAATAATTATTATTTCTATATAGGTTAAGAATATGGTTGTTACTTTATGTCAATACATTTCTATTGTAAAGGATAGAAGTGTGATAATTGTAACAGACTTAGCGGAATATTTCATGTTAGATATTGGTACATTGTCCTCTTATGAGTAATCAAGAAGATAGATTTAGTTTCTGATAGGTGCTCTATTCTCTTTATGAGCATCAAAGATCGATCGTTCTCATAAGTTATCTGTCAATACTTATAGAAGGTGGTTATTATCAAGAAAACTTTCCTATTAATATGATTTTAAGGTGAATCAATAAATACAAAACAGAGGTGAGATTTTAAAACGAAATACGAACTAATTGTGAGGTACGTTTGATTGTGATTTGTTAAAACATCTCTAGTCCAATACGTTGACACTTGACACATACGTCATATGTCATACGTCATATGACCTATCAATGGAACGTATCCTGTGTGCGTATTATTTATTGCAAATGTCTTATTAACCCGCCATTAGGGGGCCTCATAGCCTAGCGGTCTTATTAAGTGGCAGCTAGGTGAGGGGTACCGGGTTCGATTCCCGGTTCGAGGGCAAGTTTTAATTTAATTTAAATTTGTTCTCGGCCTTTGGAGGGTTGTGCGGTACCGGGCGAGAGTGCCTAAACCGTACATGGAGGACACGGTCGAATTTCTAAGGCAAAAAGAACGAATTATTAAAATCCTATACTTGACGCTGGCTAATGCACAAATAGTGCCAGAGCCAAAAAAAAAAATAACCCGCCATTATATAATTGCACAGTTTCTACATATGAAACGCTTACAGATAATTTAATCTACAATGATGAACTCAATACTAGTATAGCAAAATCAGATATTTTAATTGTAAAATATTGGTTAAATACGCAAGTCTATATTTTTTAAACATAAACTTCTAATTTGAATTCAAAATGACAGGTGAAATCCCAGAGATAAAAGTAAGACATTTGAATACAGATAATAGTCATTTGCGATTAGAAATATGCATGTGCGGTGATCCAAAACTGGCACAGATGTTACATTGGGTAATGACAGGGCGGGAAAAAGAATGGAATGGAATTAGCAACACAAAGAGTAGTCGACGGGGCTTGAATATAAATTTATTCAACTTTTTACATTCACCGCGCTTTTGGTAACTTGTTCTTTTCAAGTTTGACTTTTAAACTACATATATTTATGTCGTAATTTTTTACGATTCAAGGTTTTTAAACTTAAAAAGAGCTTAGAATCTTTAACGCTAGCTTACATCCCTATAAGTAAACAAAGTTCCGTACTTGGGTAAAATTGTATAGCTTTAATTAATTTAATTTTGGTATTCATTAACGTACGTAAACCCAACCCTAGTTTTCTCTATAAAAATATAAAACTTTTACAGAGGCTATTATTATATTGGCTTTATTCAATAACAAGTTACATTGTTTTAGTAGATATTGGAACCCCTGAACTAAGTCTAGGGAGACCTGTACACCAGGATAATCCACTCTTCCAATGGTTTACTGAAAATGTAACTTAACAATCGTTACCAAAATACTATATAAAGAAAAATAGAAAAACTAAGACTTATTATTAAAATAAAGATTACATGGTTGAAACGTTGGTACACACCAGAAGTGAATGACGATGTTAGGAAACGGATGATGGGATGGAAGGTGGAGAGTGCTTGTGTAATGGAGTGTCAGTGCATTATAAAACATAAAATATTATATTATTCTTAGACCAGTAATTCAGTTCCTTCATAGTTTAGTGCACAAAGCCTCTTGGTAATACTATATTACTCTCGAGTCTGGCTCAGTTAATCTGTCAAAGAAAATATCGAAATATAGAACTGTATTAAAACGTCCGCAAAATTGTTAATTCATAAATGTGAATACCTTTCGAAGTACTTTAGATAGAAAATTTCAGTCAAATTAAACTTTAGTAGAGAAACAAAACATTATTTTTGAATACGTTCTTGACCAATATTGAATAGGTTTTTAGATTCAAATACCGGTTGTACTAAACTTTATTATAGTTCCGCTACTATTATTCGTAATTTTTTTTCATAATCGTTACATTTGACTCACGCTTTGACGTTTGTTTCGCTCGGGTAAACGCATTTTTATCTTGATTACCTTATTGCCAATTTGTTTAATATTCGTTACGTTCTCAATTTTATATTAGTGAGTGCTTGTGCGTATTGTAAAGGCAATGTATTAATAGTATATTATCAGTTTAACCTCTCTTATTGTTCCCAAACGAATTTAACTTCTTATCCTTACGACTGACAATTGAGTGCCTTTCATGTTAAGAATATATGGAAACAAGGTAGGTATGTACTCAGCGCTTATTATCTCTTAATATATAAAATTTTCGTGTCACAATGTTCGTTCCCATACTCCTCCGAAGCGGCTCGACCGATTTTTATGAAATGTTTTATGCATATTCAGTAAATCTGAGAGTAGGCTACTGTCTATCTTTCAATGCTGAATGTTAAGGGTGGTCCACCCCTAAATTTCTATTTTTATTTTTTAGATAATTTTTTTATTGTTTTGTATGATACAGCATACAAAAAAAACATACAACCCTTAATTTACACTCCTATACGATCAACCCCTATTTCTTATTTGTTAATTAAAATCATGTCTTCAACTCAGGTTTATATAGAGAAAAATTCTCAGAAAAACCTAAAAAGTTTTATTTCAAAAAACCGAACGGTAATGGTACATAAAAACGAAAAAGGTATGTAAAATCACATTAAGGAGAAAAGAAGTTCGCGGGGGCAGCTAGTTTTAATATAGAATTGTGTATCAGCGGCCTCCGAACCGTTCTTTGTGGTACAACTATCTTAGTAGTAGTACCTTCCAAAATTACACATACGGCTAATTCCGAAGTGGTTAACGACATACAACCTACTGGAAATGACAAAATACATGCTATCAGAATCAGCTCGATTATGGGAGCTGCTGAACAATTATTACTTATGGTACTTTGAGGTAAGACAGTCTACAAAGACGGGAGCCATTTTCATAAGATCACGCACACAACCATACATTACTCACACTTCAATTTATTAAAATTTTTGATTGTGTTTATACTTCATATTTTTAAGTACTAATTTTTTGTTCTTTCTTTGGATCTGGACCTCGGAAGGTCACTCACAACAGTAATGTCCTAGTGTGAGGACCAGTATCTGTAAATTAATAATAAAAATTGATTTATAAAAAATTGAGACAAACTTAGAAAGTGTGGCAGTGTACCTTTAATGCTGGCAGCATTTTCTCGCTGTATTGCGATGCTTATTCGTTCCGCTCGGAAAGCACCAGCTTTGAGATCGCCGGTACTATCTACCAGGCGCCAACTTAAATCTTTCAATATTTAATTATAAATATAATTAGTGTATAATACATGTTTTAAAGTAATGTTGGCCTAGAGGCTTTCAGGCGAGTCTAGGGGATGCGATTGCGATGCGGGGATGGGATTACTTACATGCAGGGTAAAGTAAAACTTCTTAATATTTATGTTTACCATAATAGTCATATATTTTAGAAAATATAGCTTGTAACATATACTGTAGATATAGCATTATGTATGATATTGTGAACTTTAATTACTAGAACTTTAATCCGTCCCAAAAAATATTTGTATTCTTCTTAACAATTATTCTTATTTATAACTTTTAATTTAATTTAATTTATTATACACCTTTACACAAGACTTCATTACTTACACTGCTAACATTTACTAATATTATTTTCTCCTAAGTATTATTACATTCTTTTTCTTTCTTTTTTGCGACTGAGGCGCAAACTAGCTGCAGAATGACCAGCGCTGTGGAACAGTCTGTTCCTCAGCATAATGCTAAGCCAGGGCCAATTACAACCACAGCACACACGCTTTACTAACTTGAAACGAACCGAAAGGGAAAAAAATTTTTTGGATATCTTTCATTATATTTTTTTTTCTCTGGTTATTGTTATTGTTTGTGTGTGTTTTTGTTAGTAATAAATATTATGTCTATGTCTAGATAAATAATAAAGATTTCCGCCGACTAGTGAAACACAATATTCAATCGGTAATAAGAAGTTGAAGTAAATAATTCTAGGAATAAAAGTGCGTACATCGAATACAGACGAGCTAGATATAATCGAGACACGTTTGAGATAAAGTATATGGGAAATAATGGAAATATGATTATATTTGGGGGCGCAAACGATGTCGCGTAACTGACACCGCGCGTTTTAACAGCGTTTATGTGAGCCTCCGTTTTGGCTTTAAGGCTTTTGTGATGTTTGGTATTTCGACAGTTCCAAATATTTTTATTTTGTAGATATAAATTCAATTTATAACGCCATAGACAAACGGATTTATTATCCATGGGATTCGATAGTCATTTTTTTATAATGCTGGTACCGCTCAGGGACACTCACATAGCAAGTGAACTGCCGGCCTTTTAAAAACGCTGGTTTCTTGAAGGAGTTGTATTGGTTCGAAATACCTCGACGGGCAACTGGTTCCACATAGTATTGGCGACAATACGTCATAGCTCAACTTTGAGACTCGACGGATGAGCTAAGAATTAGAATTTGCTGTAAAAAATACAAATTTATCCAAATATGCTCTATTTAAAATTAGTGTTTTATACAAGTCCTGTATGATTCAAGAAATAAATAATGATTGTAATTATTCATAAAAAAATATGTATAAATGTATTCATAATTTTTTTTTATATTCATTATAAACATAGCAGGCAAAATATATTGGTGTATGGCAAGGAGTCAACCGCATTGCCAATACGTAACAATACAATCAATCAAAGCCTTTATTCTTGGATTGCTATTTACAAATATAATTACAAATAAGATTTGCAATAACTATATATAAAAATAAATAATAATAATAAGAACAATATTTTTATATTGACCAGTTTTATGGTTAGGTTACATTCTGTCATTCGACCGATTTGTTCTATTATATATTCATGACATTTTAACACAAGACAGTTAACAAACCCGCGGTATTCATTAACTGAATAACTCGGACAAACTCACAATTCATCTGTCAACCCTCTTCCCCTGTCCAAAACTTACACTATGACCTTTTGCGACAAATCAACCACAGAGTTTAGGCTTTAGTGATTTTAAATTGATTTTGGCCCATAGTCCCATTTGCGATTAAACGTTTGAATTATTAATTACTAATTACAAAGATTATTACTAATTACAAAGATGACATATTTTGAAAATATGTTTACATGATCGAATTTATTATTAAACTTGCACTAAAGAATTTTTATTATCATTAATATTTCACAATGGTTGAATCGTTTACTGCCTTGCGATTATGTAACTCACTTTTCAAACTCACACAGCGGTTTTCGCATCGGCGGTCGCTCTCAAATCAGTCGTGAAGCAGTCATTTTATGATTTGGCATTCTGATAAGGTGGGAGCTTGTTGTTTATTGTTTGAGTGAGTTACAGAATAGCAAGGCTGTATTAAAAAAAACAAAATCCCGCGTTTTAAGAGCATTATTGTCATATGACGGTGCACGCTAAACTGTTATACAACGACCAACAGATGCTGGCATTTCTGCATATATAATGTACACTGCGGTACTTTCTTTGTCTAACGTTGATTTTTGGATGTTTGACACAATAAACCGTTTTGTATTAATACACTAAAGTATGTGCGCTGTAGCATGGCTGTACCCCGTTCGTAGTAGATTAAATCATTAATAACTGTAGTAACAGAAATTTAACCCAGCCAGAATGTTCTAGTCTACAAATAAAATCAAATTGAAAGAAAAATTAAGCAACTATCACCCGTGATGACCCGACATTGGCCTGTCTTAACTATATTAATAATTACCAAAAAAATATAATTAAAAAAACTTGCCTTCGTTATCTTTATTTTGTCAATCGCTGACAGTTATATCAAACATCTGACAGTTAAAATCAATGTATCGTTAACGATTTAGCTTACTTAAATTTTCTAATGTTCTGTTCATTAAATTATTCATTCATGAACCTTCTCCAACAATAAATACAGCAACATATTGCGTACTGCGTAATACGATGTCCAAGGGAAATAGAAATGCATTTTTATATTTATAGATTTTTGTATAATCTGTATTAACCTAATTCAAATTTCATTTAGAGAACATTAACTTCACAATATGCTCTGTGCCTGTATTAAATTATGTTCTTAATTTAAAACTCTTCCGCTATATTAAATTGTGGACAAAGCGTATAATTCATCAACGTTAAATATTGAATAACTCACACTGACCATTCGGCTGTCACCCCTCATTTCCCCGCGTGGGCATTGGGGCATGTCCTGGGCCTTTTGTGCATCTGGCAGTTTATTTGACAATATCTTCCTAGTCTGGGAGGAGGATAATCCATCTTGTCATTTTCTGATGTGGGTTTCCTATGAATTGAATTAATAAAAATGTAGCATCTAGCTAACTTTAGAAATTGTTAAAATTAGGAAATAATATGTGGCAAACGGAGGCAGGGAGGTTCACCTGATTTTAAGTTACACCGCCGCCTATGGGCGCTTACTGCCAGACGGCTCGCAAATACGTTGCCGGCTTTTGCTAAATGTAGACTTAAGATAATACAGTGGTTAAATAAGGTTAAGTTCGTATTAAGATCTTTAATCTTATTAAATGTACAACAAGCTTTTTACAAAATAGGAAACTAGAATAAATTATTTATGAATCATAATTTTATGAAAAAGAGTATAGAAATTCTTTGTGTGTGCGTATAGTTTTATTGTAGTCTCGACGCTTTCTAATATAATTAAAAGAAAAGTATTTATTACACAATAAAAAAGTTATTAAATAACGAAGAAACTAAATAAAGAATATATATAAGGTTTTGTTTAAGCATAGACAATATAAATTTAAAATATAAATTGAAATTCGTCTATTAAGCACAGAGTCCTACTGGGTTCTATAATTAAAAATGTGATCGCTACTAGTCGATACTTTTATTTACTTCAATCAACAATTCTTTACTAAGTGCGACTAGTATGAGAAAAAACTAATATTTGGCCAGAGACCGGTTTGAGCGAGCTCTAAACCCTGTGGTCGAACGCAATGAAATTTCTGTGTGCACAATTAAAACGAAATTTCGCAGGCACGGATATCTGATCGGCGTCTATCCGAATAGTATAGTAATGAATAAAATATCAGATGGAATTAAATTACAATCTGAATTAAATTAATCCCTTATAGATATTCTGAATCTAATCGTCACCCATTTCGTTTCAGATTCAAGGCAAGCCAATAATCCAACAACGTATACTGCCCAGCCCGGCTGTGTCAATACCGATGGCTGGCCCCACCCACGCCCCCGGAGATGAAAACACCAACATCATATTCAGCCCGTGGAAGGCTTTTGGCCCCTTTGTCGATACTATACAGGTAAACTTTATAAATACGAATCACAATTTGTTACAAGCAGTTCTTGTTACCATGGTAACAAGTACCTGTTATTCGCATTAGGTATGCATAAATGAAGTGAAAACATTCCATTTTTAAATTACTATTCGAAAATGAAATGCCGCAAACATGTTTTGACAGTCTCACATGCTCTTTGGAAAATACCTTAAGCGAGCATTTAGCCAACAAAATTTATGATTTTACCCGCGCGTCTATCTCTACCTCCTCCCGCTCTAGTGACTAGTGAAACAAACGTATGCCTGAAGTTCGTGTGAGATGAGACGGACGATAAAGTGTTTCGCGGAACAAAAAAATCGGTTGTCTGTAAAGTCGGTTTACTGACGATAGTTGAACGTGACAACGTCATAAGAAAATACTGATGGAATGGTTGCATTTTTCTAAAGAAAAAAAACAAACGAACGCTGCCGAACACGGAGGTCGATTGTGCCTCTTTGTCGCTCGATCCGCGCTCTCGCTTGCACTTCAAGCCTTAAATGGAACGCCTCAGAGCGAGGTAACGCCGCATCCGTCATGTTTTTTCGTGCGTGCAGCCGGCGCCATCGAATTATAAGACGTTGTCACGTCAAAATAAAGTAAACGCCAAATTTAAATAACTAAAATATACAATATTTAATAAAAGCGCTAGTAGCAGCTCTTCGCTTTACAATTAACACATGGCTCCATAATACTCGCCATGATTGAATAAAAACGAAATTATACAAAATTTAGAGGTGACTTTGTGTTTTTTTTTGTATCAATACGTATATGTTTAATTCAAGCATCACATACTTAGATAAAATCAAATCTACAATGAGTGATTTTAGATCCTGCTCTTAATATATAAGTTTCTGTCAAAGTAAATTTATTTCATATCGAATTAATTTCTCATAATTAAAACGCGTATGAAACTGTATTTAATAATGAACATTCGAAATTAATGTTGTCAAAGACATGATCAAACATCAGCTCCGAAATTAATGCAAAATAGTTTTGATCAATATTGCTTGTAATTAAAACTTAATCAAAATTTCAACTCATAAATATCCTTACTAATTCACGTCAAACAATGAACCGCGAGTTTCGAGATTTTCTCCTAACAATTTCTCTAATTGGTTTTAGACATTGATTAATGGGCGTGCGCTTACAAACAAGACTATCGTTCACAATCATTACGCCATCTCCAACATAGTCATTACCGCTTGTATTATCTTCTAGCCTCTATATTTTGTATGGACTCTGAAATTACTATAATTTTGGGTGTATGATTAATATACATAGAACCAAAGGACTGCGCCTAAAAAGAGATGTTAAAATCGGTATTTATATATACTTTCTATATATCGCTTGTCTCTAGAAAAATAATCGCACCATATGAGCCGTATGAATTCTAAATTTCACCAACATCACCTTGATGGCTGGAAGTCTTCCACAGTCTGTTTCACAAGGCATTATCTTTTGCGAACTAGCGAACTGTGGAATTGACTCTCAGTGGGGGATTTCTCTGAGAGATACGACCTCCAAATGTTCAAAATTCGAGTATACTCCACCCTCAAAGGCCGGCAACGAGCCACTAAAAATGGGCGTCTATGGGCTGCGATGACTGCCCTTTTTGGGCGTCTCGCAGGCTCTTTTGCCCCCCTATTACAACTGTTGCAATGTCTTCTCATTTTTGACATCCTTTTGTGAATTAAAAAGAAACACGTGGATGTCATAATTCTACGGAAATTATTTGGTGCACAATGTTATTAATACTCGTTTGCCTAATTTTATTTCCTATAATACATCGCAACACGAATAAAGATAGTTTTAATTTATATTGTAATTCTACGAAATAATCATAAATTTTCATGCGTCTGTTTAGAACCAGTGGTAATAATATATCTCTGTTTCATCAATGTCATAATATTTCCGCGAAAAGAGTTATATATTATTACGTTCCAGGTGTTCGTCAGAATGTGTCGTACGTAATTATATTTAAACAGTTAAAACAATCGAAAAACGCTTTCTACTTCGCAGTCTAATTAGATCAATTACTGTAATGTACATTTAGTAATTTTTTTAACAATTTACTCTTAATATATAAGAACAATGTTTCAATTGTCAAATAGGAAAGAAGCTTTCATTTGATATATACTTAGTGACTTGTAATAATAGCATTACCTTCTTTTATTTATCCTATAAAGATATGGATTTTGCTTTTACGACTTTATTCTCCGGGGTAAACGATATTTGTAAATAAACGAAATATTGTGATCTTTTTGATATAGCTTGCGTGCGACTCTAATCCCTAAGATTTTTAATTCTGGCTATGCACCCGGAGCTTTTGTCTAACTGTATGACAGGCACAGAATGCCAATTAGAAAAAACAAATGATAGCGAAACAGATACAGTAATCTGAGGCCAATACTTACACAAGGGGCATGTCGGGGCTTAGCAAGGCTGGACTTTTTAATGACCACTCAAACAAAAAACCTGATTCGTTCGACATCGAAAAACAGTCAACTCTGAGTACTTACCAGGAATAGTAAGTAAACTTATCTCAAAGCATTTTGATCCCTCCAGTTTGGTTTAATTGTTAAAAACATACAAAAATAGAAATCTTTCCTCTTTACAATATTAGTATAGATATACATAAAATATGTTAAACTAGTACACAAAACATATTCGAAATAGATTTTATTTTTTTGGATGTAGTACCCATTAAGTGCACTCAAACGCAAGTTTAATAATAAATTATAAGGTCTATTGCCATGAAATGTTGTGTGAAACGGATCACGTTGCAGTCTTTCAAAAATGTGATTAGGCATTTTAATTACTATGCCCTCCAATAATTATCATTTTACTGTGAGTGAATACGCGTATTGGATATGTTGTATCAAAAGGGTTAACTTCCGGGACCAGTCAAAGTGTATATCGAGCCTAAAGATTATTTTTAAAGTACTTATTTAACACAAGCCTAAAACTTTAATTTGTGAACTAAAAAAAAAAAAAAATATACTTTTCGAAAATTATTGATTTAATTTATACTTTATATTATTTGATATATGCGTGTACTTTTAAATCCTTGTAAGAGGAACGAAGGCTACGTCTAGTGTTTATTTATTTTAAGCATTTACCAAATATATATAGTAAAATTGGTTTTCAGGATGGAGAAGTTCTTCCAAGTCAAGATACAGTGATGTTTCCAACATCAAAACAAGAGAGCCTTGATGAAGATGTCACTGACCCAATACCAACCAGTACGAGAGAGTCGTCAAATAAGGTGTGATTAGACCCTAATTAGCTATTAAAGTAATCACCTAGGTTTAGATATTTTAAGGACTTGAACAAATTGGTTGGAACCATAATTATTGGTAGTGGTGGAAAAAGTTAAACCGCCCAGGACCAGTACAAAACTGTGGTGAATCGCTTATACACTATTGACATATAAAGTATATATATATGTGTGTAACGTAGTTTTAGTAATATGTTATGTACTAGCCACTGAAGTATTTCCGAAACAATTCGACTTAGGGTCCTTCAAAATAAGAGCGTACGAATTCCTAAAAGGCTGACAACACACTTGCAAGCCTTCTGGCAGTGTGAGCGTCCGTGGGCGGAGGTATAACTTAATACAATACACACTCTTCATCAGATGAGCCTCCTGCCCAAAAACCATTAAATCACCAAAAATCTAATATAAAAATTGTGATTTCAGAAAACGTCAAAGTTACTATTTTAGTCATCATTTACTGATTCTTATGAAGACAATTTAAATAAGAAAATTTTTATTTTAAAATCATTTGCATATTCGTACGTATAAATCTTAATTTGTTATTAATTTTTTTAGCATGTGATCGAAAATCCATAGAAAATATAGGTTTTCATCAAACATTTAAATGAATAATCTTACCGGTATAATATTTGGCAAATAAGTTATATAATAACGTATTTATCTCAGATAACATCAATGAGTAGTTTTAGTTAGAGTTAGTAACAATTTGGCTTAAGTTGCTATAACATAGTAAACAAAATAAAAACCTCCTTTTGTGAGGCATGGACAGCATACCAATGTTTTATGTTTTCTTTGTGATCAACATACTTGCCATTGGTACTATGCCTCTCGCTGCATCCAAGATGCCACTCTTTTCTGAATGATGGCATTAAAACTGTCCGTTTGGTTCTCTGCAAACATACCTGATGATCTGCAGAACCTCGGCAAAAAAAATATGTTTATTATGGAATATATAAGATATAGGTATCATTTATTCCAAGTCATTAAATTTGAATCGGTAGACTTCCCTACTCATCGGCAAAGAAGACAAAGGGGGTAGGCCGAGAGAAATAGTAGGCGTAAAAAACTCTCGGTACTCTTTTAAAGTAGCAAATCATCAAACAACACTTATTTTAAAACAAATATCGTAAATTAATTAGAAGTAGCCTGTCTAGCACTAGTCCCAGGCCCTTTTATCAACTAGATAATCGTTAACTTTATAGTAAACCGAATAGCAACCTGAAGGTGTTGTTATATACGAAGCGTATTCAACGCCGACTTATATAATGACTATTTATGACTAATTATCTTTATAATTAGGTATATTATAGCTTAAACCAAGATGATTATTAACAGGCTTTGTGTTCTTTAGAGTTCTGATACTGAAAGTCCGATACCGCACATGAACTTATATTCACTAATATTAAAATATTATGATCACAAAAAATTAAATGATCAGCCTCATGTGATTGACACACCCCGTTTTCCTGTACGGTTCGAGCGAATGTTAAATGCGCAACTAGACAGAAAGTAATTTGGTGCCGGGGATCGAACCTATGAACTCAAGGATGAGAGTCGCACGCTGAAGCGAGCAAATGTACGACCTTTGGGTTGATAATCACTTAAGCTTATATCAATAAGTGTACAGTTTAAGTTTCTTCCTCGAAAACTATTATGTAAATAAGTTACAAAATGATTTATTATTATCAATACACAAACTGGAAATTTCAATATCCAACTATTGATCGCAACGTGAACTTCAGAATAACAATAACACAGGTTGTTTGTGTTAAATAATATCTGGGTGTTCATTATTTGTACGAACGTTTGAATTTCAAGTTTCCGTTGGTCAATGATTGATTGTTTTGACTTGATTTATTGAATATATCGTTACATCTCTCTGTCTTCTTTACTGGTTTCTGTGAAGCGCCAGACTTCATAATTATCTAATATAAATATTTGCTTATTGGCAAAAACATATCTTGTTTTATCCGTAATAAAGCTCATTAAATAGGAATAACAACAAACATCTTAAAAATTATGAAAACAAAATCAAAGATCATAATAAGATTTGAAGAAATAATTGTGTCGCTTTAGGCCCTTACATTATAAAAAATGAAGCTTTTATATATATTCGTCATTTTTTTTTATATATGTTTTATATGTATTCGTCAAATTTATATTTGATGAATACTTAAATGTTCCTAATCCTTGGGATTGATTTGCTCCGTTCAAACAATTTGTATGACTCGAAATTTAGCGATTAAAAAAGTGGCGGAAAGGAAAGTTTCTTGCCAGTTCTTCTTGCCCGCGAGACACTGATGTCGAACCTATAATAATATTAAAAATCTTGTGATGCTAAATGTTATACTGAGACATGTGACTAATTTCGTAGAATTAAAATCAAAATGTTATAATTATGAAGTTTTTTTTTTTTTGAAATGAGATATTTATATATTATAGTAATAAAATAATATACATTGAAATAAATAACTAAACTTAACATAAACTAAAATATATCATTAAAAAGAGTCCCTTTAGGCAAGGTTCCGAAGATACTGGCAGCGTAATTGATGTGTAGGTGTAGGGTGACAAAGCTTTAAATTATGAATATTCATTATTGAAACTTTAAAATCTTTAAATTTATTTTTTTGACTTACAGGTGGCCTCAATCAGCCAGTTGTCGTTCCTAGTGAGACCAGACAGCTTCGAACGTGGCCAGTTAAGACTGACCTGTGTTTCCACGGTCCACTCGGTATATAACGAGAGGGCTGAGTTGGTCATCAACGAGGAACGGCCACAGATCGCATCTGTGCTTGGCACCAGAGACCGCTGTTCTGGTAAGTAACTAGGAATAAAATGATTATGTATCAAGTAAAGACGAATTCACTACAAAAACATTTAAACCCCTTTATAGTAAAGAAGACAATCGAACTGGATTTGTTGGCTGTTTTCAGGTTATTATGTTTTAGGGAACATAAACATATTATGTTTTAGGGAGTCTATAAGATACAATATATAGTATTGTCTTTTATTGACATAACTTTTACTCATTTAAAGGAAACAATTTTTTACCGGATTGAAGTTATGTAGTAAATTTAAAATTATGTAAAATAATTGTAAATTTATAATAATACATAACTTCAATCCGGTAAAAAATTGTTTCCTTTAGATACAATATATGTTGCTCTACTAATGAATAGTCTTACTCTGTACTTTGACTCATTGTAAAGGGAAGTCTAGTTATTTATTTATCTGGGAAACAAAACAGATACAGCTCTATACAATAAAAAAAGGGTGCGTGTACTTAAGGACGATTATTTTGTGTATGGAAATAATTATTTTATGATGTACGAATTCTCGCTAAATAAAATCGAAATAGTCTTTAAAATAAAATGCACTTTTGGGGCTAGTAAAATATTAAGGGGTTAGTAAGAGCTTACTGCTTTCTTTCTGAGAAGGTTTTTTACTCGTTTTGCAGCACTTAACTTTTAGTGATAGGTATCTAAGAAAATAATTTTTAGTATTAATTCACATTTATTGGTACCTATGGTTTATTGGTATTTCTACATATCGACAAATCGACTGAGAAGTCAAAATGTATGAAGGGGATAGCCTGCGCGGCGTAAATGCAGGTGTATCTTTTCGCACAAAATGGCTTTACTCTTGTAAAACTTGTGAATGGGAACTATCTATCGCATTTTTATTACATACATGTTATAAAAACAATTAAACATTATTGTGATCGAACAGCTTAACAAATTTTATTTAAATTTTGCAAATCGGAATCGAAATAACCTATATTTCAGATTGTAACTAGTTTACGATTTTGGTAACACATATATACTGACTATCGGCCGCACTCAGAGTCCTTCGTTAAGAAACTATACTATAGTTTATATCGTCTTCTTACGGTGCATCTCCAACTACAGTCAATCTCTGAAAGTGTTCTACTGCTTCGAGACCGTTCACTAGCCAAAAAATGATGCACCTACCAGGTTTGCGTACCCAATGTTATGCCCCTAAGAAAATTTTCTAAATCAGTTAGTAATCAATTCATGTCACCGAGTCACACTCACATACATAATTATTAATCTTCCTTTAGGGCATTCTTGACTGTGACCCCTGAGTCCCCATAGTCAATTAATTTTATACTAGGAACATCTCTTCCCTTACGTCCATTATATTACACACGCTCTTTTTACGAATTTCATTCATCGTTAGCTGCTTTATGCAGCATCGAGTCAGAAAATAGCATACTGTTCAAAGAAAACAGCTGTGAATAATGCGAACAATGAAAGTTTAATTGTTCATTATTGTGTCTCTTGCAGTATTATTTGTCGACAGAATAAAATCGTCAATACGTTATATTATATCCCTTCGGTTTTATATTAACTAAATTCTTCTAATACTAAATTTCTTAGTATAGATATAAATATATAAATTGTTCCACTATAGTATTGTTATACCAAATTCTTGTAAATAAATTAATATTATTATTCAATAAATCTTCTGTTTAAAACTCTTTTCCTACAAAAAATATCATAACAAATGTTCTAACGGCTTACACTTGAAAGCTTAAGATAAAGTTATATTCGCATTTATAATATTATTAGAGAATATCTATGATTTTCGCGACACTCATAAACATTTGTAACAGTTATGAACGATATAATATTATTTATGTCAGTCAACTTTTCGAGTGCTTTTCAGCTATCATCTAGGGAATTTTGTCGCCCAGAATACAACCTTATTTGTGAGGGTTTTAAAAGAAGGACCTCTCAATTATATTATTGAGACTATTAGGGAGTTTCCTCATTAGCTTTTCACGAATTGACTGTGACAATAGCAGTGTTGACCTAGTGGTTCTAAAGTACGTCTCCATCCCTCTAGACATCGTGTCTCGTCATCGTTGGTCCGATCCCCGGCTGTGCACCAATGGACTTTCTGCCTATGTGCGCATTTAACACTCGCACGTACGGTAAAGGAAAACATCGTTAGGAAACCGGCATGCCATAGACCCAAAGTCGACGGTGTGTGTTCGGCACATTTGTAACGTCAGGAAGGATTACTTAACAAAAATATTATTTACATTGCACACATACTTTATAAAGCAAAGCTTTGCCGCTATTAGCTATTAGAAGTAGAGTTTATATTTTTCCTCGTAAAAATTAATTTAGAAGCAGCGGATTTTTATATTTACATGTAAACATTGCCTTTGAATCGCTGAAAGTAAACCAATTCCACTCTACAATTCAAATATTTGCGCTACTGACTTGCAGTGCAATTTACCTTGAAGTTTTGGGTTGAAATGCAACTTGGCAACTAAATAAATATAAAGAAAAATCTCTAACCGTCATTACGCTGAAAGAGGAATTATCCATATATTCCAAATCGGTAATTTGCGAAGCGCACTGTTTGGTATTTATTACACTCAAACGTACGTAATCCGTTCTCGCATTTGCTTTATTTAGTAATATCCTTATCAGAAAGAATTATAATATTATCTTCTGGGTAAAGGAAAGCAGATACCTTGATATGATACCTGGCAAGAAATATTTGTTTTTTGATTTGACCTTCATGACATGGTGTAATGGTTGCAGCCTTACAAACGTTGTGTAAATAAAGCATGGCGATTAAAAAGAGTGGCGGAGAGTTTATTGCCAGTTCTTCCGTTCTACGCCCTTGATTTGAGAACTGACAATAGATGTAAAGTTAGAAGCATTTCATATACACCATTTTTTTTGACTTTCATAAGTGTACATTGTGTTACCTATATGATTAAATGATTTTTGAATTTTGACTTTTATAAATGATTATATGACTAAAAGATATTTGATTCAGATTTTAGCACGCGTTTTAATTTCACTTAGTGAAAGTGTGTTACAGTAAGACAATTTTGAAATTCTTATTCTATTTTATAGAACAGGGGGCAAGCGGGTATTCGGTTCACCTGGTAACAAATGATACCTATGGACTCTTTCAATGCCATAAGGCTCGCGAGTGTTGCCGGCCTTTTAAGAAATGGTGCGCTCTTTTCTTGAACCCTTAGTCGAATTAGGTATATTATAACTATTTATATTATATAACATAACTAGCAGCCCGTCTCGGCTTCGCACGGGTGGACATATATTTTTTTAATTGTTTGTAGATATTGATAGGTGCTTTAATATTGTGGAACATATTTTTGTTCTATCAACAATAGTTTTCGCAGCGCATGCGATGAAATATATTTTATAGGCTTTTTTACACCTTAGGAAACATTATTGTAGTTTTAGTAGGGTTATTTTTTTCTAGCCTATATGAATCAGTCATAATGTAGCATTCAAATGGTAAAAGAATTTTTTAAATCGGTCCAGTACTTTTTGAGACAATTTTTTACAAACATACTTACATACAAATCTTTCCTCTTTATAATATACGTATACGTATAGATTAACAATCATTGAAATAACAAATGGTTTTAATAGAGAATATTACTAAAATGATCCTTAATGGTGTATACCATATGTATTATAAGTCCAGCATTTTCTGTTGACAAAAATCCACAAAACAAACAATGAAATCATTCATATTTATTCAGATTCGGCTTCAGCCTATACGTGTTTGTCTCTAAATATTCCGGGCGAGTGAGCAAAGGTAATGTTCAGTGTATGTAGACGATGTTTGTTCAGCATTGCATCGAGTAAATACATTGTGAATGTGCCCAGCTTCCTGCCCTTTGACGTTTCGGCTTATATTTAGTGTCAAATTGGAACAAGCGTGTGATTGTTTCATCAGTCTATGTTAATTCCTTGTCAGGGCGCTATTGTCTTAATAATTTTGGTTCACAACATGTGACCTACAAGCTAAATAGTAATGTGTGATTGTTGATACTAAGGCTGTTGCGCAACAGACATTATGGTTTTGGGCAGAATTTATCATTATTTATTTATTAGAGATTTAATGAATCCATAAAAAAATTTGTTAGTTAACATTTCTTAATATGAGTATTTATTGTGTTAGTATAAGTTGTAAAAATTTAAGTTAATTTTTTTGCGGTCTAGTATTGTATTGCCCCCCCATTTTAGGGTAAAAGCCTCCTCCAATATTTTTCCATTTCTCTTTCTTTTTTTCACTAATATTTCTCAATGCATTGTTCAGATCTAATTGCTTATTTTGATGATCTTACGTTAAAAGTGCATAATTTCAATTATTGTGACGTGGAGCGCCTTTTATTTTTAGTATTGTCCTGTTCTTCGTTTTTCATATGTAATGGAGGGTGGTGGTCGCTTTCCCCAGGGCATTGCTACATCGGGGAGTATTTTGTTAACGTGGTTATTGTTATTGTTGTATTTTCTTTGTTATTTTGATTGATCAGTATACTGACATTATCCAATCATTATCCAGACTGGCTTACGTCGTTTTTCCTGATGAAGGAATGTTAGATGACGGAATGGTATTTCCTTATTGTACAAGCTAGTCTTTGTGGAATGAGCCCCGTGGCAATGATTCACGGATTTTTTTTTAATTTTAAATTTTTCATATTAATTATCAATATCAAATAACAGTGTTGTCAACATAAAAAAAAATTCAGCGCTGTAGCGACCTCACATCCCACGACGGTTCCCTTTCTGGCACAGATATAATTATAATTAAAACCTATTGAAATGTTTTTACACGTCGGTTAAGAATCAAACTAGGGTGACAATGCTCATCAAGGACATGAACTTGAATTATTTTTATCAAAAGCGTAAGAAATTCAATTGATATAACTAAACACTTATTTTGTCTTGTTTAAGTAGCTTATTTTATTCCCTTAATTGCGCCAGCTTTTCATTTATACTGTTTGTAACCGCTTCCCTTACG